TGTAGAGACAGGGTCTCCCTATGTTGCCCAAGCTGGACTCAAACTCCTGGACTCAAATGAACCTCCCATCATGGCCTCCTAAAGTATTAGTATTATAGGTTCGAGCCACCATGCCTTGCCTGGAATTGTTTCTTAAATGTCATTTTCAAACTGTTTGCCACTTTTGTATAGAAATATAATTTATTGTTATCTATTGACTTCATATCTTCCAATCTTTTTAAATTCATTTATTTGTTCTAATAGGCTTTGAAAAATATTCCATAAGGTTTTCTATTTGCACAATTATGTTGTATGCTATTAACAAGTTTTACATCTTTTCCAGCCTTTATGTCTTTTATTTCTTTTTCTTGTCTTATTGCACTGACTAGCACCTCTAGCATATTGTTAAATAGAAGTAGAGTGGGTATACCTGCCTTGTTTCCAGTATTAGGGAGAAGAATTTCAATGTTTCCCCATTAAGTAAAATTTTAGGTTGTTCATATACATTCTTTTTCAGGTTGAGGAAGCTCCTTTCCATTTCTAGTATGTTAAGCAATCATTCAGCTTCACCAATGGATACTGAATTTTTTTCAGGTGCTCTTTCTGTATCTTTAAAAATTGTCTTATGATTTTTGTCTTTTATTTATTTTTTTTTTATTTTTCGGAGACAGGGTCTGTTGCCCAAGCTAAAGCACAGTGGCATAATCATAGCTCACTGTAGCCTTGAACTCTTGGGCTCAAGGGATCATCCCACCTCAGCCTCCTCAGTAGCTGGGACTACAGATGTACACCACCACACCTGACTAATTTTTTTGTTTTTGTAGAGACAGTCTTACTGTGTTACTCAGGCTGGTCTTGAACCTTTGGCCTCAAGAGAACCTCCCACCTCCAAAAGTGCTCGGATTACAGGTGGGAGAGCTGCGCACCTGGCCATCCTTTATTTTGTTATTATTTTTGAATTATACTAATTGATATTTGAATGTTTAATCAGATTTGCATGCCTGAAAGAAATCCCACTTGGCTATGAAGTATGATCCTTTTAATAAGTTGTTGGATTTGATCGATGATATTGTGTTAAATATTTTTGCTTCTCTGTTCATGAGGAATATTAGACTGTAATTTTCTTTTATATCTTTGTCAAGTTTTGGTATCAGGGTTATGTTGATCTCATTCTTATTAGAAGTGTTTCTGTTTATCTTCTGAAACAATTTATGTAGAATTTTTCTGAAGTTTTTTGGTAGAATTTAGCAGTGAAACATCTGGGTATAGAGTTTCTTTGTGAAATTTTTTTATGAACTCAACAATTTTTAAAAATTCATATGAAGTTACTTAGATTTTCTGTTTCTTCTTATATGAGTTTAAGTAATTTGTGTTTTTCAAGGAATATTTCATTTCAATTTAAGTTTTCAAATCATTAGCATAAAATTTTAGGTCAGAATATTCTCTTACTATAAGTTTAATATTTGTGGGATCTATAATGTCCTTTTAAAATTCCTGATATTAGTGGTTTGTGTCTCTATTTTTTCCTTTCTAGCTGCTTACCTATTTCACTAATCTTTTCAAAGAACCAACTTTTGACTTTATAGATTTTTTCTTTATTGTTTTCTACTTTTTTTCATTCATTTATACTATTGTTCTTATTATTCTGTTTATTTTGAGTTTAATT